ATATATATATATATATATATATATATATATATATATATATATATATATATATATTTTTTTTTTTTTTTTAAAAAAATTAAATCTTGAATAACCTTATAAATTTAATTAGTGGGGTGATTTCATTTTTTTTTTCATTGAAAAAAATAAAACTAAAAAATATATAAACTAAATAGATAATATCATATTTTTACCTAAAATATTTTTGAAATTCTTATTTTAAAATATTAATTTTTGTTTAATAAAAAAAAACAAGTGTACTATTTATCCCGAAAATAAAATAAAATAAATCAATAATTTTATCAATTTCGTTTTTTTAAAATATTATGTATATTAATTTTTAATTTATTTTTCATTAAATAGGAATTCCTTAATTTTGAAGAGAAAATGGCGTAAACCTAGGAAGTTAAATATTATAATTCTATTCAAATTTAGTTTATTTATTATTTTCTGAATAATTATATTATTTTTATAATTTTAAAAATACTACTAAATCACATATGACACGAAAAAAAATAAAGTTTAAAAGTTATAAGAGGAATTTTTATTTTTTTTAAAGAAGGGTAAGACGTGAAAGTGCACTATTCAGGGGTAGAAGCGTTTTTTCACGTACAAACTATTTACGACAGCGACACTCGAAACTCCACAGAGTCATTTTCGTTCATTGAGGCGAACGCGTTGCGAAGCCTCTAGAAACCGCGCCCTCACCATTGCTATAACTATTGCTTTGATTCGAATTGTACCACATACCTTCTGATTCTTGTATTTATCGTGTTTTTCTCATCTCAGTCTTGATTCTAGCGAGTTTCTCGACTGTGTTGGGTCTCTTTTGTTTATGTTTTTGGGATTCAGGTGGCCGCCGCAAGCTTGTGTACATGTTGATTGAAGTAAGTTTGTTTTTCTATTAAGAAAGTTTTCTATAGTTCGTATTGCTTGTTTTCTGATCATCTTTTCGTGGTACGGTTGGATCGTAGTTTGATTATGTTGTGTTTTGTTATGCAACGTGATTTGCGTTTGCCTTTGGATTGATTTTTTTTTTTTGATACTTTGATGATTTTGGTTCTGACAATGAATGTGATTTGAGATCTTATATCTCCCGATTTAGTTCAACTTGTTGTGAGTGGTTCGATTGTGTTCTCGTTTCATCAGTAACTACAATTGTGGAGGTATATGGTCCCAAATTTTTTATGATTTTTTTTCATTCCCTTTCGATTAAAGAAGTCGAAATTCTCGTTGCATGTTTTCTTTTTGGTGCATACGAGACCGTTGGGTTATTTGCGATTATTGGTGCATAGATTTCTTTTGCAGTACTAGATATTGCTTTAGATGTTTGATTAAGTGGTGTTTTGATTTGATTATGTACCGTGGTGAAGTTTTTGAATCTCTCTAATACATTTTGGTTGTATTAAAATGCTCATAGGTTAGGGTTTTGTTTTTAGAAATTAGGAGCTAGATGTCTATTGAAGTTCCCCTTACCTTCTGCAGTATTGAAGGCTTTGACCTCTGTTTTCAAAGGTGTAGAACGAAGTAAGGTAGATTAATGAATGTTATATTCTTCATCATATGATTGGAGTAATGTAGATTAATGAATGTTATACTTGAATCAATCAAGTAGCTGGTTGACCCTAGAATGATATGTTTGTAATTAAATCTTTATTTGTTTTGAAAGAGTTCATATCAACAAAGGCCTTTTGGCTCTCGACAATATATAAGTGCATTGGGAGATGAGAAGAAACGAAAAGAAGGGTGTTATGTTCCCTACCGTGATAGCAAGTTGACACGTTTGCTACATGCATGCCTTTTTTATTTTTTATTTGATTCGAAAAAATACTGTAGTTCACTGGGAAGAAGAAGCTTCGGTGGCAAGTTGCAAAGCTTCTTAACCAACCAACCAGAACACAGTAAGTACTCTATTATGCTAATTTATTGGAAATGAATCCGGATCTGTATGCAGCTTGAACTTGTAATGCTTTCGAACATCAAGTCGTTTCAATTAATAAAATAGGTTGAGAGTATACCGCGTTTGTAATTATCAACCTAATGACAGCCTTAATATTTGATTATGAAAATTTAAAGATGTCTCTCGTCCTTTATTCTCACATCTTATCCCCTCTAAACAGTTTTAGCCTTGATCTGAAAATTTTCCTACATGAAAATTGCAGAACTCGGTTTTGCAAAAGTATGCAGAAGTATGTCGGACTACAGTATGAAGAAGTATGAACAAGTATGCAGAAGTACTTGTTAGGTTAACGACATAGAAATATGCAGAAGTATGTTGCATAACTCAGCTTTGCAGAAATATGCAGAAGTATGCCGGACTACTATGAAGAAGTATGCAGAAGTATGCCGAAGTATGCCGGACTACTCTGAAGAAGTATGCAGAAGTAAGAAGAAGTATGCCGGATTACAATATGCAGAAGTATGCCGGACTATAGTATGAAGAAATATGCAGAAATATGCCAGATTACAGTATGCAGAAGTATTGAGAGTTAGATTCTGAAATTTGAGTATGTTAATCTAGAGAGGATTGCGCTCATAATTGGTGAATGAAGTCGTGATGGATTTAGATTGGAAAAAGGAGTTTCTAAGGTGTGTGACTAAAATTGTGTTGGGTCACTCATTTCGTAATGATATCATATTGACAAGGTAAAATTAGAGGTATGTCATTGATACAATGCAATCTATTTGCTCTTGGGGAGAAGAAACAACTTTGGTGGGACTTACGTTTGGAGGATACCTCTTGTTAAAGGTAGATTTAAAATTGGAATGAGCTTAGTCACCTTTTCTTCATTTCTCTATTATTTGTTTGTTATTTGCTCCTCACCCTTTCTTCATTTATCTGCCACTATTTCTCTAGTCAGATATACGTAAGCGGGTTCATTTCTGGGTAAGAACGATGTAAATAGATGATAAATAGTTGTGATGTAAGCTCTAGGGAATTTATCCATAGCTATCATAGTACTTTCTAACCAAACAATTTTATCATTTGTGCGGTTTCCTCAACAAAATGGAAGAAAAAAGAGGTCCTTCAGGCGAGTCATATTTATGTACGGCTACCGTTATATACTTGAAGAAGAAGAAGAAGAAAAACAAATCTTTGTGTGAAAATATCATAATTTTGTTCTCCCAAGGGTTCAAGTACTCGCTGGTTAGGATCGGATAATACACGTTACTTACTAGCGTCTAGCTGCTAACTCTCTCTTCTTCCATGCGTCACACCATTTGTTGTCATTCTCATCTTGGCAGTTTTAAGAGGCTAGTTTTTGGGATACAAAGAATGAGTTTATTTATTATTCCAATCGTGAAAGAAGGGAAGAAGGTTTAGGTCGGGAATCCTCGTGTTAGAACACTCACAAAAATGGCTTCTAGTGGGTGTCTTTGTCGCCTTTACCAAATCTTTTTTGTGAGGTTACTCACTTCTCCCCTTATTTTGTCCCAAAACCTGGAAAGCCATTGCGTCTTTATTTGAATTTAGGCTGCTTTACTTGATTTGCATTTCTTAGGGGGCTATTTAGACAGTAGTTCATTAACAACTTATAAAAAAAAAAAAAAAAAAAAACTAAGAGTTAAGTAAGAGTCCAATATTGCAGAGCACAAACAAGAAATTGGTGTACACAATCATTGCCTGATGAGTCCATCATCTCGAGTATTGCAAAGAAGTTTGAAGAAATGTTGGATGTTGAAAGTGGAGAATTAACAATATTAGCCAAAAATATATATATATATATATATATATGAAGTGCCTGAATGGGTTGCAGTGGGCGCACCAAATCCAGAACTCTCTTCTTCTATCACACCTCATCATCAAAATTATTATTTAATATTTCGAAACATTAAATTTAACTCTCTTCTTCTATCACACCTCATCATCAAAATTATTATTTAATATTTCAAAACATTAAATTTACTAAACTTAAGGAAAGAAAAGAGGATTCTATTCGATAAATATGCATATGATGGTGGAAACGGGGAAGATAAGGAAGGTGAAGAGTTTTATATTTAAACAACCCATTGTGGTGTGTAATGGACTTATCGTTTTATATTTTATCGTGCGCTGATGATCAACACATGAACGACGGGTTTCGACAAGGGCAACATTTTAAAATATCCGTATGAGTTTATAACAACACTCAACCTCCACCATCATTTACAAACATCAATTCGGCATGAATCCCTAAAACAAGCCATCAAAATTCTTCACAATCTTGATTTTCAAGTGACCCAACAAAATTAACACGGCAATGAACTTGATTGGGTTCTATAATTTGTTACCAAAATAAAAACAAGCATCCTCTATCCCCTTCATTCATCCATTCTAATATGCATATAAAAAAAAGGAAAAATCTTACCTGTGATCGCCAAATCTCCACCATCGCCACTGTCATCAGTCCGCCACCATTTTAACCATGGCGCACTACGTGTGGATAGGAAAAAAGCTCGACATTTCGGCAGTGCGCGTGCTCTCATCAATGAAACCCACCAACTCATCATGACTTTCCATTCTTCTCGACCACCAGTTTCCATCTGCAAGAACATATAAATTAGCACTCAGCGAGCAGAACAGCTTTGAAATCCAAGGAACTAATTACCCATTTCAAAACAGAAGCCAACCCGCCATGCAAACCATTTCTTCTTGTGTCTTCCTTTTGGTTTGTGTCATCTTCTTGCTTCTTTCTGAAAATGCTAAAATAGCTGCTGCTGCAGCTGGGAACAATGGCGTTTATATCGTCTACATGGGATCCGCGTCCAGGACTGATTTCCTTCGCCTTCTTACCTCTGTCAACAGGCGGTAAAGCTTAATAAATATCCCAATTTCTTAAAGCAAATTTAAAATCTCACACATATTATGCCCTGTTTCTTGTGTGGTACGTAGGAATGGAAACGCAGTGGTGCGGACTTATAAACATGGGTTCACAGGATTCGCAGCTCGTCTGTCAGAGCAGGAAGCCCATGCCATGAGACAAAGGCCTGGAGTTGTTTCGGTCTTCCCAGATCCAATACTGAAGCTCCACACAACTCATTCATGGGATTTCTTGGTCAGTCAGACAAGCGTCAAAATCGACAGCGCTCCCAAGGCAGATCCCCCGACCTCTTCCTCTCAGCCGTTCGATACCATTATCGGCATCTTGGACACCGGTAACTAAATATGTAACAATATATCAACCATTAATTCTCTGCACTGCACCGTATAACAAGTTGGCACGGTTCTAACAACTCGCCGGAAAATTTAGGTATCTGGCCGGAATCCGAGAGTTTTAGAGACGAGGGCATGCCTCCGATACCGTCGAGGTGGAAAGGTACGTGCATGGCTGGCGATGACTTCACTTCCTCCAACTGTAACAGGTAAGTGTTGCTAAAAATCCATAGCTATTTAAAAGTTTCGATAATAACTTAAAATTAAAAAAAAAAAAAAAAACAATTTAAAGATGGAAGCTGTTAGTGAATAAAAAATCATGGAACTATCGTGTGTGTGTGTTTGACATGTTTTGTCGGGTCAGAAAAATCATTGGAGCAAGATTTTACGAAAGTTCTGAGAGCGACGGGATAAGGTTCCACTCACCTCGAGACGGAGCTGGACATGGAACCCACGTGGCTTCAACAGCGGCCGGCAGTGCCGTGGCTAATGCATCCTACTATGGCCTCGCAGCCGGGACGGCCAAGGGCGGCTCCCCCGGCTCAAGGATCGCCATGTATAGAGTCTGTATGGCCGATGGTTGTCATGGATCGTCAATCCTGGCAGCGTTTGATGATGCCATTAACGATGGGGTCGATGTATTATCCTTATCTCTCGGTGCGCCCAACTACTACAAACCGGAATTGACGACCGACCCCATTGCCATCGGAGCCTTTCATGCAGTTGAGAAGGGGATTACAGTTGTCTGCTCTGCTGGAAACGACGGCCCCACTCCGGGATCGGTGGTGAACGACGCGCCATGGATTCTAACAGTGGCTGCCTCCACCATTGATAGGGATTTTGAGTCTGATGTTGTGCTGGGCAACAAAAAAGTGATCAAGGTAATTTAAATTCCTTCACCGCGTTAAGTTATCTCAAATAAACTGACCCAATGAAATATAATTCAGGGAGAAGGTATAAATTTCTCTGCTCTTGAAAGCTCTCCTGTATACCCGCTGATACATGGCAAATCGGCCAACAAATCGAGTACCAGTGAAGACAGTGCGAGGTATGTAAGAGATGAGACATTATATGATGCTGCTGCTGGCTAATAAGATTCCTCATTAAGCTCTCTGATGAGTCCTCTGGCTGTTGTGTCTCTGTTTAGGATTTGTTCTGAAGGCTCCATGGACGAAGCTCTTGTGAAGGGGAAGATAGTTATTTGTGAGAGCAGTGAGGAAGGAGGCGGTTCCTATTGGCAAGGTCAGGCTGAGACAGTGGAGAGCCTTGGAGGGGTCGGGATAGTTCTGATTGATGACCAAACAAAGCTAGTGGCAGAGAAATTTACTTCTCCCATCACCGCTATTAGCTCAAAGGATGGCGATGAGGTCCTTGCCTATGTTCACTCAAGCAGGTAAAAGTTCAAACCATCCTCTGTTTAATCATCCTGGGTACAAAACTTGAACTTCGTGGTCTTCAATGGCCTAACCGAGTTTGATATTTTCTGAAGGAACCCAGTTGCTACAATCCTGCCCACCCTGACCGTAATAAACTATAAGCCAGCGCCCGCTATAGCATACTTTTCATCCAGAGGGCCCAATCCCGCAGTATTAAACATGATCAAGGTAAGGCAGCCTTCAAAGGGAAGAAGGAAGGATGAGGGGAAAGATTATATATTTGCCCTTCATCAACAAAATTTCAATCTAAATTTTAGATTTAACTGTGATGCAGCCGGACATATCAGCACCAGGAGTGAACATTCTTGCAGCCTGGCTTGGAAATGACACGAACTCTACTCCGCAACCAGAAAATTCGCCGCTCTTCAATGTGATCTCAGGAACTTCAATGTCCTGCCCGCATGTCTCCGGCGTAGTAGCCATGGTAAAATCTCAAAACCCCACATGGAGTCCCTCAGCAATCAAGTCGGCCATCATGACAACAGGCAAGGAATTGACCTCACTAAATTTTTTGTTGAATTGAACATGTTTACTGATGAGCAATTTTCTCACGAAAACTTCACAGCAATCCAAACGAATAACTTGGAATCACCGATGACTTTGGATACGGGATCAGTAGCTACACCTTATGATTATGGGGCAGGAGAGATATCAACCACCGGAGCATTAAAACCAGGACTAGTCTATGAAACTAGTACAACTGACTACTTAATCTACCTTTGTGGCCGAGGCTATAACCGGTCCACCATAAAGAGCATCGCAAATACTGTTCCTGATGGGTTTGATTGCCCCAAGGATTCTAATGCAGACTACATATCCAACATGAACTACCCAACAATAGCAGTGTCCGAATTGAAAGGCAGCGAAAGCAAGAAAATAGTGAGAACAGTTACAAATGTTGGTGGTGATGGTGCAACAGTTTACAAAGTCAGTGTGGACGCACCTGGGGAAGTAGATGTCAAAGTGATTCCAGAGAAATTGGAATTTTCAAAGAACAATCAGAAGCAGAGTTACAAAGTGGTGTTCACCTCAACTGTGTCCACACTGAAGAAAGAAGCCTTTGGTTCAATAACTTGGAGCAATGGAAAACATCGAGTCCGGAGTCCATTTGTGGTAACCAGTGAGAGTAGTAAGTCAGAAGATTAGAGAACTAATTGCAATTAACCAGCTCGAAAGTTGTGTAGTGCTCAAAGTCATCTGTTTCAGTTTGAACTATGTTGCCTTCTGAATAAACGAAGTTGATGATGTTTTAGATGTCTAACTTGCTTGCTTGAACGGCCTTCATCCTTAGAAGAAAACTAATAATAATCAAAATTGATGGTTGAAGGAACCGTGAATAGGAATAAATACTAAGATTGTCAGATGGAGCTGAGTGATAAAATGAACATGAACAACACTGTATTTAAGACTCCCAATTTTGGCGACGGGGATTGTGGACTATGGATGTAAGATTCAAGCAAATGGACTCAGTAACAAATTTCTTAAGAGTATCAGCCCCTGTATAACATCATGTTTAGACTGTTGATGATCCAGTAAAATCTAATAGCCATGTCCGTCTTCAGATTTTCGAAGTTTTCTCCACTTGTTTATCAAACAGGGGAAAAATTTTACAGTCGAAACCAATTAGGAAAAATTGAAACTAAACTTTCTCGCAATTCCTACCTCTAAATTCGGAGAGGAAAAAGAAGAATTTACCAGGACGATTAAATTTGCGAAGTCGATGTGCCTATTACAGTATTCAGTGACGTTACATAAGATTTAACTCTGACGTTTGGGATGAGGATTTCGTCGTTCTCATTCATCATAATCCCTTGACGGTGTGGACATGGGTGAGCTACCTCCTCCTCATCCGTTTCGTCGGCAATCTTCATATTTAAACCTCCTCCTCATCCGTTTCGTCGGCAATCTTCATATTTAAACCTCCTCCTCATCCGTTTCGTCGGCAATCTTCATATTTAAACCTCCTCCCTACCGTTCTTTGAGATGCACAAAGAAAGCTCTGCGCTCCGTAGAACAAGGAAGTTGAGAAAACAGCGGGAAAAATGGAATGGAAGAAAAGAGGTTAAATTATAGAAAATAAAAGTTCGTTAGGTAAGCTATTTCAAAAAGAGAAATAAATACTAAATTTTCAATATAATTGTTGATAATTTTACACCAATTTTTGTTCTTTATTTAAAGTAAAATATATTTTTAAAACAATTTCAAATTCTAAATTTAAACTCAAAATATAATTTAATTAATAAAATAAAAAAGATTTCAAACTCGTTAAACCAATCACTTTACATATATATCTATTTAAACGAAGAATGAGGGAGGGGTAGAACATTTCTTCCGATTAGATAAATGGAGTCAGATTATATATTTTCATCCCCGCCCCCACCCAGTCTCCAACATATACTAAAAATTGATAATCATAATTAATCAATCACATAATTATGGACAAGAATGAAGGATTATGCGACCAAACTAAAAGTACCACAGCATTGATGGATTGGATACAAATAGTAGTGTTAAAAGGAAGATGAGCTAAGAATTGGAAAGAAGGGCCTAGCTTACTTTGTACATAATATAAAATAGCCGTGTGTTTCACAAAGACAAACTCCATTTACAAAACAATAGTACGGAATCACAACTGACATCAAATTATAGAGGCTCGAGGCCTTCAGAGAGAGAGAGAGAGAGAGAGAGAGAGAGAGAAGCCCAATTATTAGGAAAATATGATAATGAAGAAGCCACTCTACCCCAAACCACATCCCTAAACGAACGGTGGAGTCAGTGAGCGCTGACAAGGAATGGATGCTGGCAAACCCCACACTCAATGGTCTCGGAACCTGAGCTTGGAACCTGCACCTGTAATGGTTCGTATACACATAAATTTATCATTACTGCACTACTCCATAACATGCTCCACATCAACTAATTTTCTTCAAGCCTTAAAGGGACCGTGTGTTGATCAAGATTTCATGGCAATCACAATCTCCACCACACTTGAATACAACATTATTTGGAATCCCCTAACTATAACCAACTCCTTAACAAAACACTTTTCTAAGCACTCTAAATAAATCAATTTATAAGCATAAACCAAAAAAAGAAGATATCAAACCTGTAAATGCACAGTACAAGTAGGACATGCAACTTCCTTCATACGTTTCCCAGATCCATCAGACTTGGATCCTGTGGCATTTCATGGAAGTGACAATAATATTAGTGCTTATTCTCCTATATAAGAAAAAAACACTTAAAACAATAACAACCCCAAATATTAATAGAGGAGCAGCAAGCTAGCAGTGTATTTAAATTATTGATTCCCGAACAACAAATTACCTGATGACCTACGGTTTCTCTCCATTTCATCCTACGACAACAGAAAAGTACAATAAAATTAGATTGATGAAATAAGAAAGATATGATTTTTTTTCTTTTATTGATGAATATCTCTAGGAAAGGGCGTTCAACTACAGAAATCACAATGCTCAATAAGCAATACCTTAAGTTTTTTGGCAAGATCCTCATGGCTATGCAACCCTACAGGATTACTAGTCAGATCCTTGGCATTAGCGAGCCTCTGAGTCACTTCCGCCTGAAAACAAGAAAAGACATGTTAAGAGCCAACACACTAATGCCTGCTTGCTAATTGATCACCAGCTAATCCAATACATAAACCCGCATCATCCACACTTCCCAATAAGCCCGGGCGGGAAGAATAATAATAACGTTTTAGTTGTCAAAGAGGGAAAAAAAAAAATTCAACAGAAGTTTTTCTTAGAAACATATTTAATGGATATATGGTATTAAAAATCAACAAATTTCTATACAAGTTTTTCTTAACAATAATAATAATAATACCAAATAAATCAAAGTTATGCATAACGTACCATGCATCTGTCACAAACTCGAACTTGAGGAGCATTCTCCTCAGCAGTCAGAGCTGTTCTACCTTGCGTACATTTATCACAGAAGATGTCTCCACAATTTCTGCAGTGATGCTGAGAAAAAAGTTGAAACACTGAGATCCATTAAATAAAAAAGGCAGTTTAATGAACCATATTCTATAATTATTAGAAAAAAAATCTACCCTTCGGACAAAAGCCCCAAAGTCTGACCCACAGGCTGTACACTTCGTGACTGCTTCATCAGGTACCTAGAAACGGAAACAGAAAAGGCAATGTAAATGCATATACCCTCAGACAATCTTAAAATCAACAAGCTGATAATTAATGACAACTCTGTCAAGATACCCAATGATCTTTCTCCTCGTTGCCTGGTTTTATCAGGTTCACCCAATCAACCAACCCTTTCTTCTTCTCTGTAGGCTGCTCAGGCGCCTTAAAAGATTCAGAAGGCCTACTTCTTCCACCCATTTCCTTAAACTGTGTTTTTTAAAATAATAATAATAATAATAAATAAATAAAAGAATCATATCAAGTTACAACTACTAATATCTAGAATAACTAGCTAATAACAGACCGTAAAAGTACCCAATCTCAATGAAAAGAAGTCAACATTATTGTGCATCAAGAATCTAAGACTCAGACGGTGAGATCTCACATTGTTTTGGGGAGGAGAACAAAACATTTTTTATAAGAGTGTGAAAAACTCTCTCTAGCAAACACGTTTTGAAAACCTTGAGGGGATGCCTGAAAGGGAAAGTTCAAAGAGGAAAATATCTGCTAGCGGTGGGCTTGGGCTGTTAAAGTTAGTATCAGAGCCAGACACCGGCGATGTGCCAGCAAGGAGGCTGAACCCCAAAAAGGGGTGGACACGAGGCGGTGTGCCAGCAAGAACGCTGGGCCCGGCAGGGAGGTGGATTGGAGGTCCCACATCGATTAGAGAAGGGAACGAGTGCCAATGAGGACGCTAGGCCCTAAAGGGGAGTGGATTGTGAGATTCCACATCGGTTGGGGAGGAGAACGAAACATTCTTTATAAGGGTGTAGAAACCTCTCCCTAGTAGACGTGTTTTAAAAATGTTGAGGGGAAGCCCGAAAGGGAAAGCACAAAGAAGACAATATTTGCTAGCGGTGGGCTTGGGCTATTATACAGATTGATCGGTGTGTATCTATGATATGTGCACACTGTACTGGTATTAAATAGAAGTTGCCTTGAGACTTTTTATAGCCACAGAACGAAAGGATCTAAAAGATAAACTAGAACACTCATCCATCATACCATGATAAGTGATAACTATTCCCAAATACACTTATACACCAAAGGGGTATGGCAAAGGCAATTCCTTACAGCTCAAAAATGTCTTGAAATCACAAATGCATAGATTAGCAGGGTTAGGAATTCTAAAGAGAATGCTTCTAATGCAAATGGTTAAATGTGTATCTTGAAATAACAAGAGGGTTAGAAAACACTAAATAAACTTCAAATCATTTTCTTAAGTTAAAGACCAAGGAAAACAGGTAGGGATTATAACCTGTACAGTTGCAGCAGTCACCGTGTCCAGAAGCGTGTTGGTGGTGTACTTGTTTGACTGTAATCTAATACGCCGTGGCTCAATATCCACAGAGCTCTTGGACCAGAAAGCCAGGGTAGAAGAATCATACACCTTGCAAACATAAATAAAAGATAACAAACCATATGATAAGTCCATGGTAGCGAATTCCAAGGAAACCATAAATAATCTAGCATCCCCACTTACTTCACATCTAGTGATGGTCTCAAGAGGATATATCCTTAACGTTCGACTAGAATTTGGATCAAGCATACGAATGCCATCTAGACCAACCTGGAAATGATTACAAAAGAGAGTAAATAACCAAGTCCTATTGTTGTGCTAAAATAACTTAATAACAATTAAACTATGTTGGAGCAAAGAAAATATGAAGTGATAACAAAAAACGATGAGAATGTAACAGAAGAACAATTGACAATTTTCATGGGGGTTTTTCTCCTTTAATAAAAAACCAGCCGCCTTCGTGATTCCATTAAATAAATGACAATATCTACAACAACAAAATTGTCCTGTGACAGCATGAAATACCTGACAAAGTACATCCATGGTGCTCTGACCTCCACTTTCAGCCAAGAGCTTCACCCGGAACTTCTGCACCCAATTTTTGACGTCTTCTTGAGCTTCCACCTTAGGGATCGCCCTAACTACTTTCAGTGAACTCGCCGGCGGATCTTTTTTCGGAGGAATATTTATCGGCCTCCCATAATCGTCAAAAGCAGGCGTCGCGGCAGACCACGTCGAAGACTTAGAAGCCGTACCACGAGCTCCATAAGGCTCAACTTTGCCACCTTGGTAAGC